TGTGGAGGGAGTCCGAATAATTCGTTATACTGCAAATCAGTTGAAGAAATTGGCGCCACAGGTAATCTTGTTATTTCCTTCTATATTATAAACTTCCTAGCAAAAATGCGAAAACGACATTCAAAAGTCTCTATCAAGGTTGTAAATGCTGCACATTTACTGTGTGCTCGAGGAGACAGTAAAATTGCTCAAGAAAACATGGATTTGTTTCGGGATATATGGCAAGATAAGGTAACATTGAGATTAAAAAAGCTATTCCGATACTCACATACTTGGTTTAGGTCCGGCTATTAACTATGGCGATCGACTCCATAATGACACTTGATGATTTCTTAGCTGTCAGTGAAGCACATATCGTGGAGGACGCTATGACTGGACTACAGGTATGACGGTTGTTTTTAATCCGGCCCCAAGAATAAGATTTCCGCTCAAAATTTAGAGTTTCAAATTTGTCCTCTCTAGAATTTCTATGTTCAAAGAGCTTAGGTATCTTTTTAAATATGTTTCTTTAATTTCGTTTTAGGCCGTTCATGAAGGCGATGGTGACATGTTAGATAGAGCATCCGGTGCCATTCGAGGCAGATCGCTAAGGGTAAGCCATCTTACAACAAAGCACAAGGCTACTATTCCCTACAACGCCAGTTTTGAGGTATGCTCAGCCGTTGACGCTGAAATGGACGCCTTGCAACCTAGCGCATACACAGAACGTGTGAAGTTAGCCACCAGGAGATTGAGGGATGAAAGTGGGTTGAATATGCTTCTTGGCCTTACTTGTTACAGTCTTGCTACTTTAATACACGATCTTTAATCATACAATCACTTTGAATAATTTTCTTCTTGATGCAAATTGTCGCAGCAGCATTTTTTATCTTCAAAAATCTTTTTACTTGAATTTTTTTTCAACTTCAAAATTTGAAATTCATCAAATCGGGCTACCTCTCATGCTTTCCATTTCCAATTTCTTCTGGGAATTCTGTTGTTGCTCGGCGTTTCCCTGTTAATCTCTTTCTCTTCCTAGTATAAGCTTGTAAATATTTTTTAGTGTTGAGTCAATACGCTGTTCGCGCAGAAGCAGTTGTCACTCGATTAGAGGCCACAGGATCGAATTCTACACAAGAAGAAAGGTATTTTAAATGTGGTTTTTCTAGGATATCTAAAGCGCAACAGTGTGTGCGCATTGAAATATTTAAAATGTTGCCTAGTGTGATGATGACTGTGTACAAGTTTACTAATGCTGTTTTGCAGAGATCGCGACTCGGACGAGTTCATCAATGCATGTACTTTGGTGCACGATGCAGTGAAGGAAATTCGAAATGCTCTGCTGGTCAATCGGCATCCAGAAGATGTTGACTCAGACAACGAGTATGAAGATGATGGACAGACGAATGCGCCTGATAATACTAGCAGGGTAAGCACTTAGCGATTCAGCTGATTGAATTTGACCATAATCCATGTTTTATAGATATCGGAAGGGGAAAATCAGCAGCGAATTATGCGTCGTTTGCCTGAGGAAGATAAGAAGAGAATACAGGAGCAGATTGATGTGTTTAAGGTAAAGTGGTGCCAGTATAATGCTTGAAAGTTATCCCTTCCCAAGAAATTATTTCATTATTTCTCCTTTCTTTATTGACTTTTCTCTTGCAGATCACGCAGACAAAATTCGAAAGAGAAGTAGCAAAGTGGGATGAAAGTGGTAATGATATAATTGTGT